TGGGGGGAAAATTCCGGGATTTGGGAGGAGAATCCCTGAGTCTGGGGGGAAAATCTCGGGATTTGGGGAAAATCCGGGATTTGGGGGAAAAAAACGGGATTTGGGGGGAAAATATCAGGATTTGGGATGAGAATCCCAGGATTTGGGGAGAAAATCTCGGAGTTTGGGAGAAAAAATCCCGGAATTTGGGAGTAGAATCCCTGAGTTTGGCGGAGGGGGAAACCACCGGATTTAAGGTGAAAAACCGGGGATGTGGGGGAAAAACTTGGGATTTGGGGGGGAAAAAACCGGGAATTTGGGGAGAAAATCCTGGGATTCAGGGGAATAAGCCGAAATTTGAGGAAAACCCCGGGATTTGGGGTGAAAATCCCGGGATTTAGGGGCAAAAAACCGGGAATTTGTGAGGGGTTGGGGGAGTTTGGGAGCCCTCTCCCGGGAAAAACGGGGATTTGGGGGGGAAAAAACCGGGATTTGGGGGCAAAAATTCCAGGATTTGGGGATAAAGTCGCAGAATTTGGGGGGAAAAACCGGGATTTGGAGGGTTTGTGAGCCCTCTCCTGGAAAAAAAACGGGATTTGGGGGTGAAAAACTCGGGATTGGGGGGGAAAAACCGGGAATTTGGGGTGAAAATCCCGGGATTTAGGGGCAAAAATCCGGGAATTTGTGAGGGAAACCCGCTGGATTTGAGGGGAAAACTCCGAGATTTGAGGAAAAATGCGGAATTTGGGAAAGTTTGGGAATAATTTTGGAGGAGTGGGAGGAATTTTGGGGAGTTTGGGCGGATTTTTGGGGGGGATTTGTGAGGTTCGGGGGGATTTTTGGGGCGGTTTTGGGGGTTTTGGAGAGTTTTTGGGTTGTTTTTAGGAGGGATTGAGAGGGATTTCCGAGGATTTCATGGAATTTCTTTTGGAATTTGGGGGATTTTGGAGGTTTTTTTTGAGGGATTTGAGGGAATTTTTGGGGGGGATTTTGGGGTGATTTTGAAGGGTTTTGTGGGGGAAAAACGCAAAGAGGGATTTGCTGGTAACGGAGATCAATAAAGGGGGATGGATATCGGGGATGGATATCGGGGATTTGTATCGGGATCGATATCGGGATCGATATCGGGATCGATATCGGGAATCGATCCCGGCCGTTCCCGCCTTCCCCACACGCGCCGGAACCGGAAATACGTCACGCCGACTTCCGGCGCGGTGGCTCCAAGATGGCGGCGCTGGCGCTGAGGTGACTCTGAGGACCCGGGACGGGTCGAGGACACTGAGGGGACA